GTCCTCGTCCTCTCCGCCTCCGGCGTCATCCTCTACTCCTTCGTCCTCGCTAATGCCGTGGCCACATGCAACCTGTCGGTCGTCATCTCTGCCATCGATGGCCGTGGTGGGTATCACTCGATCCTCAAAACCCTTGTGCTTCTCAGAGGCAGAACGGCCACAGCCATAACCCTGACATTGCCCGCAAGTCTGGGAATGGCAGCCATTGAAGCACTGTTTCAGTACAGGGTGGTGAGGCCATATCGTCTCACTGCCAGATTCCATCCTTCAGCCATATGGGAGGCTTTCTCCATTGGTTACGTGCACTCCCTCCTCGTCGTCCTCGATACAATCATGGCCTGCGTCTTCCTCAGAAGCTGCAGGTCTACTGTTTGGTCACGTTGGAGCAATTATGACCATGATGTAGATGTGGCGTCAGAGGAAAAGATTGCTTTGCGAGTTTGAGTTTGTGCAGATCATCATGTCATTTGTAAGACTTGCATCAAATGAGTACCACATAATATAAATGTAGATACACATGCGCAGTAAAACCACGCAAGGCATAGTGTGTATTATAATTAACTACTATTACTCGATCTTTATACTTTCAAAACTTAAAAATGGCTATCCTTACAAAAATAAAATATTTAATCTTATTGCTTCAACAAAAATTATTTTTTAAATTTTTAATCCTATATAAAAAATCTCAATGTTTCATTTACATAAGTATAAAGATGTCAATATAATTTTTAAAAATATAAAAACTAAAATACTAAAGATAACTAATTAATACATAATATAATAGTGCACCAAGAAACCACTTCACTAGTTAGTATATAATATATCCTGCATGTTATGTACAAGAGTCATTGCAGACACAATTTCTCCCACTTCAAGGATGTGAAAATTATACGTTTTGAAAGGAACATATAATACTTATACTTTGTAACCTGATTTGCTAAACCAATAGAATTAAAAGAAGAAAAAGACATGTAATGACACCATAAACATGGGTGTACAGTCAGATCGAAATTATAATAGTTAAGAGAGTACAATGAAAACATAAAAATCAGTCTTTTATGGGTAATTGGATTCCAACTGATAACAGAGAGATTTCCTCTTATAACAAAGAGATTTCCTCAACTGTACGAGGCAATCTCTCTGCTTAGTTAAAGAAATCTTCTCTTTCACAATGTATAAATAGAGTTCATATGATACTAATTGAAATATGCTTTTCTTCATTTTCTCAATTCTTCATGGTATCAGAGCAGAAATTGTGAGGAGTCATTGTTACTATTGCAGCACCCCTATTGAGTTGACGCCGAGAAAAATTCTTACTGACATCACACCGCTGCCAAATTTCTCCTCGTATGCGGCAATCCCCCTTTTCCAGATCCTAGCGGATCTGCCCCCCCACTCGTCGCCCACAATCGGTCGTTCGACGACAGCTTCCCTACTTCCAGTCTTGACCACGACTATCGCACAAGTTCCAAGCCTACGGTGCAGCGCCAAGCATTTGTTAGGCCCAATCAACGTATTTGGTGACTTTGCATCGCGGGAGCACGCACTCTTGGTTCCTCCTTACTGCAGAATTTTTTTATTCTTCCTCCCTCCTACCGCATAAAAGTATCAACACTTCTTCCTTTTTATTTTTCTTTTGATCCTTGTCATTGCTACATACTTCTACTTGCTCTCACATAGTAGTCCATATCTTCCATATGTCTTCATCATCTACCTCTGTTGCTCCATTTACTGTTCCAATAGGGAATCATAGTACTTTGCCACATACAAATCTTATCTCTATAAATGCAGCAACCCTCATCCCCTTTAAATTATCCAAATGTGGCAACTACGCATCCTGGTGTGCTCAATTTTCTAATCTTCTATTTGGCTATGACCTTCTAGGCTATGTCGATGGCTCTCTTCCTTGTCCACCAGCGATGATTAACATCCCAGGAGTTTCCAGTCCAGTATCAAATCCGGACCACAAACTATGGTTACGTTAGGATTATCTCATTCTTCAAGCAATTCAAGCTTCAGTCGCTTGATCCCTCGCCCCACTCATATATTCATGTGACACTGATGCCGAAGCCTGGTGCAAGTTGCAAACCACCCTGATAAATCGTTCATGAACTCGCATGCTTAGTCTCCTATCCGGACTTATGAAAACAAAATAAGAGGGAAGTACTATTATTGATTATCTGCACAACATAAAGATTATTATCGATAACTTGGCCTTGATAGGTCATTCCCTCAGTGATGAAGAAGTTACTGTCCATATCCTCAACGGCCTAAGAGACGAGTATAAAGAACTGGCAGCAGCAATACGGGCACGTGATTCACTAGTGTCGTTCGAAGAACTCTACGACAAGCTGACTGATTTTGAGATATATCTCAAGCGTGAGGACAAATTGTTAGGACCATCCATCATGGCTCAAGTCAATCAAAAATCCACGAGGAGAGGCTATCAGTATAATAAGACTATCAACAAAGTTCGACCAAGATGCCTTCTGAACCTTTGAGTTCCAACCAAACCCCTCCTCCACATCATCAACATTTCAATCATGACAACCAAGGTGGCTACTTCAATCATCAGCAGTCCTGGCACCCTCAACACACAAATTAACGAAGAGTTATTTGAGCCACAAAGGACGAAGTTACAATAAATTTCATAAAATTTCAATTTATCAAATCAAATAAATTCAACAATCTATTGTAAAAAAAAATTAAAGCATAAAACTTATATAGCTCAAAAACTTATATTTGTCAATTATGTGATAAAGTCGGTCACTCTACAAAGGTCGGTTGATCTCGACCCTGACTTCCTACACAATTACATTGGCCTCAAGCAAATCTCGCAACTACTCCAAACACTACTAATCATAATTGGATCGTAGACTCTAGCGCATCCCATCATATTACCTCTGATCTACAGAACTTATCGATCCACAACAACTATAGTGGATATGATGACATCATCATCGGTGATGGTAAAGGACTTCCTATTACTCATACTGGTTCCACAATGCTTAATTCACCTACCACAACTTTTACACTCGATGATGTTTTGTGTGCACCTCACATTAAACACAATCTTATTTCTGTTTCTTAATTTTGCAAACAAAATAATACCTCTATTAAATTATTTCCTAACTCTTTTGTTGTCAAGGATTTGAACACAGGGGTATCCTTGGTCCAAGGTCAGAGTAAGGACAATGTTTATGAATGGTCATCCGTTCCATAACTTAAACAACCCACTGTTTACTCCTCAGCGGCAGCTCCAATCGATGTGTGGCATCGTCGTCTCGGTCATCCCTCCCTCTCTATCCAAAATAAATTACTTTCTCGTTGTTCTCTTTCTACTCTTACAAATAATAGTTTTTATTATGATAAAAGTCATAGACTCCCTTTTGGTTCTTCTTCCATATCATGTTCTACACCATTTGAAATTATTTATACTGATATTTGGGGTCTTGCTCCTGTCACTTCCTTTGACAAGTTTAGATTTTATGTCGTTTTTGTAGACTATTTTACTAAGTACACATGGATTTATCCTCTCCGTCATAAGTCAGAAGTTTCAACAATTTTTACAAACTTTAAAAAGTTGGTCGAAATCTTCTTTCAGTCTACAATTAAAACAGTCTACTCTGATGGTGGGGGTGAATATCAAGCTCTCACATCTTACCTCTCAACCTATGGTATCCAACACCTTAAGTCACCCCCACACACTCCTCAACTAGTTGGTTCTGCTGAACGTAAACATCGACATATTGTAGAAACTGGTCTTACACTTCTACATCAAGCCTCCATGCCAGTAACCTTTTGGTCTATAGCCTTTCAAACTGTCGTCTACCTTATTAATCGTCTGCCCACTCTAGTTATCCAATACCAATCTCCATTTGAAAAACTATTTTCTAAATCCCCAAACCTTCAAAAACTCAGAATATTTGGTTGTTTATGTTATCCGTGGCTACGTCCCTATGCCCCACATAAGATAGCGCTAAGATCTAAACCTTGCATCTTCATAGGATATTCTCTTAAACATAATGTCTTTCGATGCTACGAACCAAAAACTCAAAAAGTCTTTATTTCACGTCATGTTGTTTTTGTGGAGTTTGTCTTTCCATTTCAAAACCACGAGTCTCCTACCATGCCAGTCATTCCAACAAATATACATCACTGGAGTATACCATTGATCCTCTCAAAACGAAACTCTTCTCACACCATCCAGTCTCCTGGTTCAACAGCTTCCCACTCCCTCTATTCCTTCTTATCTTCCTTCTTCACAAGTCTCCCCTACTACTGACATAATATCCTCAGAATCACAACAACCTTCTTTACCTAGTACCACTGATGTTTCTCAGCCTATCCCGACCCCTGTCGATGCCTCTCCACCACCCATACCAATAACACAACTTCCAGTTCCTAGACATCCAATGACAACACGCTCAAAAAATGGTATCTTTAAACCACGTCAGGTTCTCGACCTGTATGCTATCACCAAATCCTCTTCCGAGACCAGTGAACTCACCATAATTACTCAAGCCCAAAAATCTCTTTACTGGCATAAAACCATATGTGAATGATATGATGCTATTCTCCATAACTCCACATGGACTCTTATACCTTTTTATCCTACACAAAACATCATCGGGTGTAAATGGGTCTTCCGAATTAAGCGGAACCCCGACGGGTCCGTTGCTCGATATAAAGCACGATTAGTAGTCAAAGGGTTTCATCAACGACCTGGAATTGACTTCACAGAGACTTTTAGTCCTATTGTTAAACCCACAATAATTCGGTTTATTCTAAGTTTGGCCATCTCCAGAGGCTGGCACTTATGACAACTGGACGTTAACAATACCTTTTTACAAGAGACTTTAATTGAAGATGTCTTTATGCAGTAATTCCTTAGCTTTGTTCCCGTATCCAAGACATATTTACAAATTACAAAAAGTCATTTATGGACTCCATCAAGCTCCATGAGCTTGGTATACTGAACTTTTTATATCAACTGGGGCCAATGTCCTTCGGTGCACATTTCTGCTCTGCACCCATTGATGACACGACAGTCACTACCAGATCCTTCCCTTCTGCAAACCATCTTTAATCTAAATTATTAAAAGGAATGATTTAGAAGATATAGATTACAAGCATGAGCAAACAATGGAGAAAGATGGGTGCACAAACATATAAACTACACGAGCGATATTATGGAAATATATTAGTTATAAAAACAAGTAAATAGGAAGCATCAACAAATGTTTGGCACATTATCAATCCAGATTACAAAAGGAGAGTAATATTCCTACTGTTGTACTCCTGAGGAGGAGATTTTTGACACATGTCCAAAACTTTAGACTATAGTAGAATAGTCCTAACTTTAATATCCAAAAAGATAGAAAAAAAAAAGAACTATCTTCATAAACATGCACAAGTAACAGTTGTGTTCCTTTCACGTGTTTCTGCATTGAACCGTATCCTAAGCCAATTATAAGGATAACGATGTCCTCAACAGATCCTCATTCTTTATTTTACATTACACTATGCATCTATTTATATTGTGATGATACCAATTTAAATAGATGAAGCACTTGGACAAAAGTTAAAAAGGACCCAAACATTCTAAAAGCAGACAAAAGGACTGTCCTACATTTACACACAAATAGCATGCATACCATATAGATAGATCTAATATGCCGAGAACGATCTTAACCTTTTCGTTTGACTTGTGAAAAAATGTAACACAACTTGGATTAAGCAATTCAAATATCATTGAGCGAGCTCATGTAAACCAAATTTTCCCAGAAGTTCTCAAACTCAATCTGCACCTGCTAGTATCTTTTCTTTAAATAAATTATAAGTCCACTGTTTCCAATCAAGGTGGTATTAAGGGTCAACCAATTTTAGCTAGCAACAGGATTGGCAAAGAAATTGATCCAAAATACAAAATCAACATAAAAAAACTGCACTCTGAAATGTTCATAAAATCGGAGGATTTGGTCCAATCAAAGTTAATAGCTCCCAAGGCACAATTATAACTTAGAACACAATTGTAAACTTGAAGAATATATATGGTACAGCTATAAACATGAAAATAAGTTAGGATAAACATAAATAACATTAAAACTAAAGTAACTTGAGATGCCAATGGATTGGTCCATCATAATTCCAGGCTGAAAGATGAAAATGTATCTGGTGCACCAACCTGAGCAAGCAGAGTTTCATCAGTTGGGAGTCTTAAGTCATCCTTAGTGTTAACATTCTCAGTCAACAGATTTACCTAACACAGTCAAATATATAAGATTAATAAACCAATTAAAAATGACAAAGAAATAATATTAACAGGTCATACAAATCCATCTTCGGATATGTCAATAAGTTGATAGTCAGTACGAGTGACATGGGGAACCTGCAATTAATTACATGAGAAAGCAACCTGACAGTCTTAGAAAATAATTATCCAGTCACAAAAACTGAAAATTCACTTACATCACAGTTATGAGATGACAGGACAATATCTTCAAGTTACTCAGCATTGAAAATATCAATGGCAACAAACTGACATTTATCATGCCCATGTTTTCCAGTCTTGGAGGTGGAAACCTCTACAACCTAGTGCAGCAATTACAAGCCATCTGAGCTTACAATATTAAACCATAGCACAACAAGAGGACACGAGTCATGAGCATGACTAAAAATAGATGATTGCGAGAGTTTCACATCTCACAGTCACTTAATCCAACATAACCTTCAATCAAGAACAACACCAACAATAACTTTTGCTTTGCTAAACAGATCTTTTCCCATCAATTTAACTCTTGTAGGCAATTTTTTAGAAGTGTGGCATATGCAGTCACATACGCATGCAAACTAATACCATTACATGAGGGTTATATGGCTAAATATCTGGTGTAACCACCTATGTAAGTATTTCTTATATGTGGTTGCTTACAAGGACCATATAAACATAAATTAGAGATTCAAGTCAAGATAAAAAAAACTCTTAGTAGATTCAAGTTAAGATAAAATTATAGAACTTAACCTAACAACAATATTTCAAATAATATAATCAACATTTTTTAATAAAAAAAAAAGTATGTGCCGCATTAAACCCTCTCATGGCACCCTATCCTTTTAATCAAAGATATCATTCTTATAGAGCTCATTTGCAAAATTGTGCTAGCAAGAATAATACTGTTGGAAAATCTTCATTCTACCCGGAAATGACTGCACTATAAAATTTGGTTCGTAAGTAGGACCTATTACGATGAGGTCTTGAGAGGCTCTTAATTCAAAGACACAAAAGAAAGGAGAACATGAACAAAAGGTAGGGCTTTGTTTATGTTCTTTTGAACAAAATAAAGGAGAGATGAACATATTATCAACACTGAAGCACAATCTTGTCTCAGCCCCCAATTCCACCCTTTCCTCTGCCTGCATATACACACCTATATGGAGACACAAGCAAAAAAATGTGATTGCACAGGTAGTTTATATATCCCCCCTAAAGCTATAAAACATGATTGATGACAATTTATTTTATTCAAATCAATTTTATGTGTTTTTTGTAGCATATCACATAAATAACTTCTTCCAGAGTAAAACCACCATTGCTTAAGTTCTTAGTATGACCTAGCATATGTTTATCTATTTATTTTATGAATACTTTTTTCTGTAATTTACTGCTATTGCACAGCTGGTTTTCAGAACAATGCTCACAGGGCAATGCTCTTGGATGACACAAGTGTCACCATATTTCTCAACTCATTCCCCCCTGCAACAGCTACAAACTATAATGTACCAATTATTTGGGTCGGTGTGCATGAACCTTTTCCAACATTAAGCTCTTTCTAATCGATGAAGCCCAGCAACTTATATTAATCTTATATTGAAAGCAATTCAATAACAGAATGTTCCTACCTAAGAGTTTCCAGATAAATGAACGTACTGGTGAACCGGCTGGCCACACCTTGATTCAGATAATTAGTGTAGGAGTATAACTTTTGCATGACTTATGTCAAAGGGGCCAACAACTGTCCTAACCAACCAGCTCTGATTCTATGAGCAACTTATTCCACTCTCTCCCCAAACAACATATCCAAGACATTGATTTTTTATTATTTCATATCTACTCAAACTATATCCCTGTCTAAAGACAGGGAATCGTAACTTATTTTTTCCTACTTATTCTAGAATCCAGTACAGATATATTTAACCATTTATAATTAAAAGAAAGAAAATTGACTATATCTATATGTGCTGAAGAAACATTCATAAGAAAGGATACGGAAGAATGTAGCATTCTATTGCTGACATCAACGTAGTTGAAATTATTAGAGTCTATAACTAACTCAGTGACCACCACACAAGACCAAATTTAAATGAGTGTGAAAACTTACAAGTCCCTCGTATCGAATTTGCATTAAACAACCAGATCTATCGCGTACAGAATGCATCATCATTAGACCAAGTAAACGATCTAATCCCACTTAGAAAGCAAACACACTCCTGAAAAGTCTTATCGTGATCAAATAGAAAGATACAATATTTTCTTATAAACATCTCCCAAAAGAAATGGAACCTACAAATCATCTATCTATTAAAAGAAGAACAGGGTCAAGAATAGAAAAACAAGAAAAAAAAAATCAGGAATTGAAGCAATCGGACTAATTCCAACTAAGAAACATAAATTAATTTAATCCAAAAAAATTCTAAAAATTGATCGAACATCACAAGAGATCCAAAAGAAACTCATTTACGGCCAATTAACGCAGAATGAAACCCGTCAAGACCATCACCTTTTTCACCAAACTAAGACAAACTAAAAAGCTAGATCAGATCAAGTCGAATCCAACCTTGCACGGCCGCCCTTTAATGACAATGTAACCGTTCTTGCGGATGCCAATACGTCTTGGAAGCCCCCGCGTCGGCCTTCGACCCAAAATGGTGTTCCTCAATCCTCATCCGACATGCTTCCTGATTGCGGTGTCTGTAGTTGGCCGCCACAAGATCAAACATCCGAATCGAACGTAAAATTAAGCTCCATTGATCGATCAATCCTAACAAAACAACTCAGATAACAAAGAGACCAATGGGGGAATTAAATTCAATTACCTGACAAGACCGTGGGAGGCAAAGAGGGGAGGGAAATGGGGAAGGAAGCGGTGGCGAAGGAGACGGGGAGGGAAAAGCGGGAAGACCATTAAAGAGTCTCGGGCGAAGACGAGGACTAGAGTTTCGATTAAACGCCCCATAATACCGGCGCCGGGTCCGGGACTATTCAAACCTTCCGATTCGGATGGAGGGAGAGATTGGGCGGCCGGATGGAGACGTGACATCTCGTCGCGTGCGAAGAATGCGTCCGGGACTATTCAAACCTTCCGATTCGGATGGAGGGAGAGATTGGGCGGCCGGATGGAGACGTGACATCTCGTCGCGTGCGAAGAATGCGGCGTAGTCTGCAAAATCAACGTGCCGAATAAATGCGCCCATCGTGGACTTACATGCTCTATGTGTCTCCCTATATATATATATATATATATATATACACACACACAAACAAAATTTCATCTAATTCACCCACCATATCCTGTTGCTTCCATTTGGAAATACCTCGTGGAACTGAAGGAATGATTTTAACAAGTAGTTTGCAGAAAGCTATGAACAGCTAGCCCACTTATCCTCCATTGGTACACTTGATAACTTAGCCAGAAAATTTTCTAAAGATCACACTAATCCTGTAGCAGTTTTGCAAACTGTGGAATAAGATGGGAATATCAAATTACGAGTCCAAAATAATATAGTCTCGTCATTTATTTCTACTAGAATACAAGTTCACAGAACAACATAGATGCACATTACAGACATAGAAAGCACAAAATGAACAAGGACTTTATTACATTCATATGACCAACTATAGCTCTCAGGCTCATATGAGATCACTATTCAGACGTAGCCTTATCTTTGCATAGGAGCGAAACAAGAGCAAGAAACTAATGCAGAGAAGCTCTCGTCGAGATGACATCAAAAGATATCCCATTGTCTTGGAGGCGTTTCTGCAGATCAGTGGGGCCAAAGACAATTCCTGGAGTAAGAACACCACCCTTCGGTAAGTTCTCACGTTCGCTCAATACAATAAGAGCGCACTGGAGGAGGGTAATTGGCGTGGTCAGGTATCCGATCTCAGGGCCAGACACTCTGGTGATTACCTCAGTGTCGGGTTTCTTACCACTCTGTGAAGCCAGGCTAATGTCATTATAGCCATGCCCGACAAACCACATGTTGAACAAAGCGCTTCTGACCTCTTCTTCTGTTGGTCCAGTCTTTCTAAACCAGCCAAGAGAAAATATTTCTGGAAATTTTAAGAGAAGTGACCTCCCAACTGCAAATGCTCCAAAGAGTCCGATGAATAATCCAGTTACCATGAACCGGAAAATTCCTAGTATAGATTTTGTGCCAATCTTTACACCAAAATGAGCAGGCTTCACTGTAGACCAGTAAGCCTTTCTCTTCTCTGCATGCTCATCACTTTCATTGGCACCTGGAAGACCATGAGGATTCTCTGCCAGCATTGCAAGTGTTCTCCGGACAACAACAGCATCTGCAGAAGGTAGTTTTAATGCCCAAAGTCCAAGTGTCTTATTATGCTCTACCAATGGCCCTTTGGGAGGTGCAGGGCCTGGAATCTGCATTGCTTAGAACATTAGCAACAAAAACTTATTCTGTTTGATCTTTTAAGAATTGAATAAACCATAGCACAGAGCATTTCGGCAGCAAGATTGGTCACGAATCCACTGAAATATAACTGATTAATTAGGAAACTTGTATACAAATGCAGTAAAGAGGGCAAAGTAAAGCCGATCATGTAAAGCATGTTCTTGGCAAATGAAAACGAGTGTCATATAGCAACTCAACCACAAAGATTAAATAGATACCATAGGGGAACCCTTCTCATACTACATACCTTATTCCCAAGTTAAAATGCACACTTCATTTGATAAGTCTACCTTTGATTTTAAAAAATGCACATAAGAATATTATGTTTTAGGGTATCCAAGCAAAAGTAATAACTCATCTATCTTGCCTATCAAGCATTTTCTCTAGTATTTGCTTAGTCGTTAAAAAAGAATGAAAATAAACATAAAAAGTGATTAGTTCTGGCCTCTTAAAAAGAAAACATGCTGATCACTGATGGTTATATATGTATATCATATTTGAACTATTTCATTTGATGAACACCCAATGGCATAACGAATGCATGGAGTTCAGTTGGCAATATGTTGGATTGATGTAAATCCCAAAATTCATTTTACAACACACATCAAAGCCATGTAGGTGCCACACTGTCACGACCTTAGCTGGAGTTGCCTAAGGCGTGAGGCACCCTTGCGGCCAAAGACGCGAACTTAGCTTGCGTCGCCTAAGTCGCGAGTCACCCTTGTGGCAAAGACGCGAACTTAGCTTGCGTTGCCTAAGTCGCGCTTCGCCCTTGCGATATTGCTCCGCAAGGATCAGCCCACTTTGTAACCTCTCGCAGGTCCCGAAGGACCTGTAAAAGAGAAAGAGAGTTAGTTCGAAAGAACGAGCAACGGACAAGTCCCGAAGTCTCGCGAAAAGGGAAGCTTTACAAGCAATTCGACGAACACCTTGTGTGCACAAGAGAAAAGAGGGAGAGGGAGAAAAACAAGGCTTTCAAGGATGAACGAACAGCTGCAAGCCCACAAACAGCCGCTCACCTAGTCCCGGGCGCGAAGACAAGTTCCCGTAAAGGTCACGTGCGAACTTGCGAAAGAGAGTTCAACGCCCGGTATATAACCGAAGCCCCATCTAGCCCTGTGCCACCCGGGGGGTTCCTGGGGTTTGAGATGGCTGACATTTTGGTGAGCAGAGGCAGTTCTCCGCTCACCTCCTGCGGCACGCGAAAACGGAGCTGTTTTGGGCTGTTTTGGGGCTGTTTTGCTCGGTTCGGTGAGCGGTCGCTTTGTAACGCTGCAGCGTGTTCGAACTTACATATTTACAAGCAAAATGACCCAAAACCAAGAGAAAACATGCTGTCAAGCAGTTGTACATGCAGGTGTGAGCGACGAACGGTTCGTTGAACGGAGTTGTTGCGGGTGCGCGACGACCGTTCGTGACATTCTCCCCCACTTAAACTGTCGACGCCCTCGTCGACACTTGTTGGTAGTTGTTGATGACTTCTTCTTCATGTCGCAGGGCGTCTTCAGGCTCCCAACTGGCTTCAGTTCGGGGAAGCTTTCGCCACTTCACCAAGTACTCTGTCTGCTCAGCTCCGTTGGGTAGCTTTATCTTGCGATCCGTCAGAATGGTTTCCACTCGCTTCTCGTAGGAGGCTGTGATGGGAGGTAGCCGAGTTGGAACACTTCGGGAAGCATCTTGCGGATCCGAGTGGTAGGCTTTTAGGTTGCTGGCGTGAAGAACGTTGTGAATTTTGAACCACGCCGGCAGCTGCAAC